TAGCATGTATGTTTTCTTTAGATATGAATGCAAATAGTAATGGCGCATTTTTATTCCGATGTTTACATAGAGGGTCTGGGGCCGGGAAGGGAGGTAAATACGGCGCCATCTTGTTGTACCGTCAGCAAAAGAAGCGGGATTATGTGGCAGCGGGTATAAGTGGATGGTGGATAAGTAAAAGCCACTGGGCCGGAGGGCACTCCATGTCAATCGGAGACTCGCTGGGATTGCGTTTGATGTGCGCACTTTGCCGAGTCGCGGCCTGCGGGCCTGACTCCGCACACTAGTAAGTAGTATACGTTATACTTACAAACTGAACGACCTGCTGCCTGCTGGCTGCCGGTACCTGAGTAGGTACTCGTGGCTTCATGAATTACTTTAAAGTATTGCTCTATTATTATACTGAAATTTGTTAGTAATTTGTTTCCTGGTCACTATACAACATGTAAAAAAACTTGAGTAATTTTTTGTAGTAGAAAGCAAAGGTACCTACATATTTTGTACCACATGGAAATTAAAAATGTTTTCGTTAATGTTACCTAATAAAAAAAATATTGAATAACAATAATCTCAATATCAACTTGCGAGGAGACTTCAATGACATTTCATATTAAAATACTTCATTATACTTAGTATTAAAACACCAAGTACGGAACATTGTTAAATAATATAACTTCATCTTCAGCTTTTTATATCATAGGTCGGCAAGTTATCTGATGGTAAGCAATCTGAGCTACCCATGGATACTCGTAATACCAAAGGAGTTACTACGAGTACGTTGCCGGCCTCTCGTGGATTGTTAGGAATTTAAGGATAAGGAATTTGAGGAGTGAATATGAAGGGAGGATATGATTGGGCCTCCGGCAACCTCACTCACAAGTTGAAACAAGTGTTGTTTTACACCAGTTTTCATTGAGGCCGTGGTGTCACTTGCCGGTGCAGGTAGTGTCAATCTTGGCTCTACCACACTTTTTTTGTGAGTATATATAAATGAAGTATACATAAATGCTTTTCTTTAGGCAGAATTTATTGATTTACAGTTACAATACTGGACTTAGGAACTACATATATAACAGAAATCGTGTAACAGCATTATCTGAACCTAATCTTTTTAAACTGCGATTTGCCGCACGCTGCTAAAAGTGGAGATTGTGCCAAAACCTTAGATTGTTTGGATAGCCTGTACAGTCCAGCAGCTTTATTGTTAAACACACAGTAGAAAAACAAGTTATAATGCAGATCTACTTTTAAATATATTTAGCGACTAGCTTATGTCAAGCTTAAGAAATATTATTATTAATTAGGTATAGTTTTGCGGCTTTACTTTTGTTGAGCGTGTGTTCAAAATCAAGGCATCATCTTCATCAATCTTTAATTTCAGCTCAATCAGTCAAAAATCTAACAAACTTTCATCCCCTCTATTTTATCAAAATCCTTTCTTAGGGGATGTAGGCATCCCGTATAACATAGGTACGCCTAACGTATGCATTATAGTAGCTTTATGCATGCAAGGTATCAGCCCGATCGGTTTAAAACTGACAGTTTCATATAAACTTTCATTCCCTTTTTTATCCCCTTGGGGGTAATATTAATCAAAATCCTTTCTTAGCGGATGCCTACGTATGACGTGTACTACGTCATACGTAGGTATCTACCTGCATGCCAAATTTCAGTCCGATCCGTCCAGTGGTTTGGGCTGTGTGTTGATAGATCACTATATCAGTCACCTTTGAGTTTTACATATTTAGATTACAATTACTTGAAATAAATACAAACAAATGTGACTAAATATGGCAGGCGGAGAATGCAAAAAAATATTTTGTTCAATTCATTTTTCAGGCCAGTCCATTTGCACACTAGTCTAATATACTTGTTTTTTTCAGACGTTTTACTTTAAATACTTGCGTCACAGAAAACCTACAACTAAAATATCAATTTCTGGAGACAACATTGCTGTTATTGGATATCAATGGCAAAAAATCTTATTATTGTACTTAGAAGATATTCTAAGTACAATAATAAGAAATATTGTGTGTAAGTGGTAGTGTAGATATAATGAAAGTAGGCAAAATTTTATAATATTTATTTATTTATTTATTTATTTATTTTCCAAAACTTAGACTATTTTTACAGGTTTTGTACCCAATGCAATAGCCTAGCTTATATGCCTAAACAATAATATCTACATATCCTTACTTGACTACAGTTTTATAACATATAACAAACAAAGCTATCCTTGTGAAATATGTATTACAATTTGATTTGTTTATGCAGTGACTTGTACATGTACGAAAGTATGGAATTAGTCTGCATAGGTATGTACCAGTTATTGTATTGTATTTAACTGATTATGGGCTGATTTTTCAATGGTTAGATTAAAGTCAGAATTTTTGCATAAGACAGTGACAGCAGCAATTATATTCCTCAGATAATATTTATCTGACTATTGAAAAATCAACCCTAAAGTATCTTAGTTGCGATATAATTAAAAAACTGAGGTTCCCATGAGGGAGATTCAACATGTTCTGATAGTCTATTATAAACTGCTTTGAGATACTTAGATATTCCTTAAGCTTGAAAGATATATCAACTATTTTAATAAAAAAAAGATGTACATGCCTAAAGTGCGAATGCCAGTCCTGAAAATAAAAATGAATTGAACAAAACAACATTTTACAATTTAGTGCATTCTCATTTTGATGTATGTATTTCGAGTGATTATATTCGGTAAATATGTATATTTAAAAGTAGAACTGAATTATGACTTTTTTGCTTTTCTTTTGGATTGCTAAAATCCCCACTTTTAGCAGCGGGTGGAAAATCGCAGTTTATAAGGATCAGCTGCACCAGATAATGATATTAGACGATTTCTGTTATATACCTATATGAATGTGGTTCCAAATTCCACTATTATAACTGTGAATCAATAAATTAAAGTTAAAGAAAATCATTTTAAAAGAAGTGTGGGAGAGTCAAGTTAAGGCACGAATAGGTCGGCTCGACCGAAGTGATACCACGGTCTCAGAGAAAACCGGCGTGAAACAACCACAGTGCTATGTTTCGCCTCATGAGATTATCGGAGGCCCAATACCTTTTTTTTTTTTACTTGCAATAAACCAGTGCTTGACTGCGATCCCACCTGATGTTAAGCAGTGATGCAATCGTTGATGGTAAGGCGCACTAGTTTATTAAGAGCCTATTCACTCTAGCCTTGAAGACACCTAAGTTGTATTCCTTCCCCTCATTTCTTACCTTCCCCTCCCCTCATTTCTTCCCAATCCTTAAATATGCGAAACCCTTATCCCTAAAAGGCCCTCGTAACTCTTTTGGTGTTGACCATGGGTGACTAAAGATGACGTCTGTTGTTCTAATAATATAAACTGAAATCCAAAGCAGATCAGTGTTGGAACTCGACCGACATTTAAAACAATAGTGCTAGATTAAGGTGTTTTGACCAAGTTTGTGAAAGTGTAGGAATACATTTCATTACATATAATACAAGCAATTCTAACATATTGAAGGAGATTTCAATGTTAAGATAAAATATATGCAGGATTTCCTGGTAGTAAGCAATCATTGCCGATTACAGATAATCGTAATAGCAAAGGAGTTGCTACAAAAACGTTGCCGGAATAAGGATAGAGGATTTCACATTTGGGGATAGAGGGGAGGCGGATTGGGCTTCACGGAACCTTTATCACACGGCGAGACACAACGTAACTGTTGTTTTACGCTAGTGTTGAAAAACTCGTTTTAAACATGTATCCACAGGTGTACCTGCAACACATTTATTTTTAATTGAAATAAAGAACTTAAGCATTTTGTGAGAATGGTGATTATTTATTGTTTAAGTTAAAGTAGACTGGATCAAACAAGTTGAATCAAATTGTGTTTAAAAAAGAGAATTTATAAAGACACCTTAAATATGGATAGTTCAGCACAGAGTACTCTGAGTCAAAAAATTGTTTAATGTTTAACACGGTAACCGCCACGTAGGTCACTGGTGACCTGCGGTAGCGGAAGATTTATTCTTCGATAGCCTTCTGTTAGCAGTTAAAGGCTTAAAAGTTAAAATAATTTATTTTAATTAGACCCTTACAGACACTTTTGAACGTCAAACGAAGCTTAAAGATAAGAAGTGTCCGCCTGTGATGCTATTTGCTCGTTCCAAAGTGTAGATTCCGATGGAGAAGAACGAGCAAAAAACTCCATGGTTATTCTTCAAACAGTTTTATAAACACTGTCTTTGTTACATTATCTTATTGTTTATTACATTACTGAAGTGTATTAAAGAAGATTGAGAAGATGAGATTGACATCGCTCGGTCAGGACGCACCAGCACATCAACTACTCATCCAATTACAACCAAAGAAGTAATTGATAGTTATGAAATGAAAATGTACCTTATATATGTACATATATCATACATAGTACACTACCTATTAGAAAAATAGGTAGTGTACTATGTCCTACTGTATATCGATCGACAGTACGTACATCAGCTCACGATTTTTTGGAGGAACACTGGCGTTGACAGCTGATTTAAGATTGTCCTTGTTTTTAATTTGTTTAATTATTAAAATATATTAATTTCAAATACAATATTGCCTAAAACCATCTCATCACTGAATTATTAAATGTAATTTATAAAGTTTTCAAAGTTTGCTTGCTTTTAAAGTGAAAATTGTGAAGTTAATAAATGTGAGGTTACCGGCATTAAGGATTCGCTGCATTGTCATCTCGATATCAGGTAAAATACAGTATTATTTCAACGTAATTAGCTATTTTGCCTATTTATTTTCGTGTTTACATTGATTTCATGTAGCGCAACAAACATTCGCGTTCGCAAAAATTACCCTTTTTATAGTTGGTGGCACAACTTCTTTGTCTAAGCAAACTTTTACTTAACTTATCTAGTAACTTCCTTACCTTAATTTACATAATAATTTCAGCTTCCATTATAACTTTCTAATTCTATCTCTTACCTTTAAACTTCCAAAATGATTCTCACTCGCAAAGCCCATGCTCGCCAAGAGGAGTCTAAACTCAGCCTGGCTTTGAGCGAATTGAAGGCATCAAAGGAGTTGTGTGATCGATTGTTGGGGGAAAGGGATGACAATGAGAGGGAATTCTTGCTTATTTTGGACCAAAACAAGAAGCTGAAACGTGAAATGGCTCTGTTAAATATTCAACACACAGAAGCCATTGAGGCCCGGGATAGGCTCCAATTCGTTGTGGACGAATTCAAGCAGTGTAGCGAGGAGTATGAAACCACTTTAAATGACAAAACGCTACTAAAACAACAGCTACATGAGGCCAACAGTCAAATTTCTGAACTAGAAATATTAAACTTAAACATCACGGCCGGCTTGAATAATAGTTTATTCAGTGAATTGGTGTCAGCCCAAGCTTCTCAACTACAATATAGTGATGTAAATTTGGATTTAAATCCATTAACTTCAAATCAGACTACAGATAATGATGCATGTCACCCAGTGAAATTTGTTAGTTCTAGTCATAAGAAGCTTAAGAAATACATAAGAATCAGTAAATTTATAACTAAAACAAACAGATTAGTAAAGAGACAAAAGTTCTTCATAAAAAATGTAAAATTAAATAGAGAACGTTTCCAGCTTCTGAAACAACTTAGTTTATACTCATCAAAATTAAATCAAAGTGCTAGGAAATATGAAACTGATACCCAGAGCCTGCAGTCAGAACTAGAACAATTAACATCAAAGTTAGAAATAATGTCTAATAAATATAGTGCTTCAGAAAGGCAGATGAGGGAATACATGTTGGCAATGAATGAGTTGGTAAGCTCGCAGGAGAAACAGTGTGAGAAGTGCACGCCTGATGCTATACTGCCTGCTCTTTCTCTGCCGGCATGTGAGACCACCTTACCTCATGGTAGAGGTTTACTGTATAATAATTGTAATCCTAGTAATCATAATATTGTGATTTTCAGTGATGAGATTGGAAAGAACTTAGGTTCAATGTTGACATTTGAATTACCTGGACAGTCAATATTTAATCACTGTATGCCTGGCTGTAGTTTTGGTAATATTTTGGATAAAATTAATAAATATAAATTTAATCAAGATTCTACCCTCATTATAATGTGTGGTAACAGAGGTAGTCTAAATAAAAAAAATTTAATCAATTTCCATAATTCACTTGCCAAACTTAATTTAAAGCAGATAATTATATTTGCATTGCCTTATATAAAATCATTGCCACAGGAAGAAAACAATAGTAGATATAAAATTAACACTACATTGTATAACTTAAGTAATAATACTAATATTCACTTCATAGACACCAACAATTATGTTGGTCTTAATATATATAGGACAAAAGATAGGTACTATCTTTCAAAATATTATTTAAGACAAATAGCAATGTCGCTATCATATTTTTTTAATATATCAGCCAATAACTTGGCTAAACAGGTTACTCCTATTGAGCAACCAAAAAATATTGACATTCATAATGAGTCACCTAATACTGACATTAATAATAATTTAAATTATTAAATAAGACAATAGAGACAACCTCTTGCAAATTAAACAGTAATAAGGTTATTAATCTGGTTCACCAAAACATTCAAGGCTTTATGAGTAAAGAATTGGAAATAGAGTTATTTTTAAATTGTAATAATGTGGATATTTTGTGTATTACTGAACATTGGCTAAAACCCCATCAGCTAATGTTCAATTTTGGTAAGCACCAGATTGGTAGCTCGTTCAGCAGAGAAAACGCTATACATGGTGGGTCACTTATACTGATAAGTAACCAGCTTAAATTCAAAGATCGCAAAGATATAGTTAGTTACTCTGTTGAGCGTACTGTTGAAATAGCCTGTGTGGAATTGGAGCGGTTTATTGTATTAAGCGTGTATAGACCACCTTCTGGTTTGTATGACTGTTTTGAAACAGTAATGGATGAAGTTCTTAGTAAACTTACAAATTCAAAGAAATCCATCATTACATGTGGTGATTTTAATATAAATTTATTAGAAAAATGTAGTTTAAGCACAAAAATTGTAAGTTTATTTTCTTCATACAACCTTGCGAATTTGTTTCTGGAGCCAACTAGGATAACACCCACTAGTGCCACTTGCCTGGACAATATTTATACTGACATTGTGCCAGTTAACAAAGAAATAATTTCAGTACTTGATTCCGATCATTGTGGTCAGTTAATTTCTTTAACAAATGAAATAAATATAGTGTCAAAACAATTTATCACAGTTAATCCGAAGACTAAAAGACGCATTGAATTTTTCAAAGCTAAACTCAGCAACAAATTGCCTTTGTTGTTGAATTATAAGAATTCTAACACTTTATATGATAAGTTTTTTAAAATGTACCTAACAGAGTTTAAGTCTACTTTTACAGATAAAACTATACCAGCTAATAGCAATGCGTCTTTCGGTGATTGGGCAACCACTGGTATCTATAAGAGTAGAAATCGCCTCTATGAGCTTTATAATGAGCGGACATATATTAACACTGTTGAATTCAGTGAATATGTAAAAAACTATTCTAAATTATTCAAAAAGGTTTGCTCTATTGCTAAATCACTATTCTTAAGCTCTAAGATAAAGAACAGTACCAATGTTATCAAAGACACTTGGAATATTATCAATAGTGAGGCAGGAAGGTCTAAAAAGAGAATAAATCAACATAGTCTTGTAATTGATAATAAGTTAATAAAAGCGGATGTAGAAATTGCAACTGCTTTTGAAAATTTCTTTTCCGACATTCCTGTATCCACTACTAAGTCACTGAATTCATCTCCCACTGTTGCAGAGTCTTTACTCAAAAAACATGTTGTAGCTTGCGATTCAGGGTTTTCCTTCGAGCACATAGATAACAAAGAAATTGTTAAAATCTTTAATACTTTGAATAACAAAAAGACTGCAGATCTATGGGGTAATTCTGTGTATATTACAAGCTCTGTAATAACTATTGTAGCACCTGTATTAGCTCAAATCTTTAATAACTGTATTGACTGTGGTGTGTTTCCTGATCTTATGAAATGTAGTAAAATAATTCCATTATTTAAATCAGGTAGTACTTCTGACCCCACTAACTTTAGACCGATTTCAGTGCTACCTACGTTCAGTAAAATTTTTGAAAAAATTATTTTAGATCAAATGCAAAGATTTTTTAATAGAAATAAATTATTACATGCGAAACAGTTCGGATTTACTAGGGGTCGTTCAACAACTGATGCCGGTGTTGAACTTCTTAATCACATTTACGACGCATGGGAGGACTCAAGCGACGCTTTGGGAATATTTTGTGATTTATCCAAGGCGTTCGATTGTGTGCTTCATGATACACTGATCAGGAAGCTATCCCATTACGGAATAAGAGGTGCATCTCTGGACCTTCTTACCTCATACCTGAGTAATAGGGTTCAGAGAGTTGAAGTAAACGGAGTGGTTTCTGCCGGATCTGTTGTGAGGATGGGTGTTCCGCAGGGTTCTATCCTCGGCCCGTTTTTATTTCTTATCTATATTAATGACTTGCCTTACCTTGTAAGGGATAAACACGAGATAGTGCTGTTTGCTGATGATACCTCACTATTATTCAAACTCAGACGACGACAATTAGTTATTGACAATGTAAACAGTGCTCTCTCAGAAATAGTTCACTGGTTTGGTGTTAATAACTTATTACTTAACGAAACTAAAACTAAATGTATTAAATTCACAACACCAAATGTTAAACAGGTTAAAACCAGTGTGCTTGTCAAGGGCGAGGAGTTGAGTCCTGTAGATACAACTGTCTTTTTAGGTATAACCCTGGACGCTAAGCTCCAGTGGGGCCCACATATAGATGGCTTGTCGAAGAAGCTCAGTTCTGCAGCATATGCCGTTAAAAAAATTAGAAATTTAACAGATGTAGATACAGCGCGGTTAGTTTATTTTAGTTATTTCCACAGCATCATGTCATACGGTATTTTGTTGTGGGGGAATGCTGCTGACATTCAGTCTATTTTTGTTCTGCAGAAAAGGGCTATTCGATCAATCTATAATCTTAGTCCGAGGCATTCGCTCAGAGAATTATTTAAGGAAACTAAGATAATGACGGTTGCCTCACAATATATTTATGAAAATGTAATTCACGCTCATAAAAACAAAAGCTTATTTAAGAAGCATAGTGATATACATAATATTAACACGAGGGGGAAAAACAAATATGTTGTCCCCGCCTCCAGGCTTCAGAAAATAAGTAGTTCGTTTAGATGTCAATGTATACGCTTTTACAATAAAATTCCTAGGGATATTCAAAATTTGAGCCTCAATAATTTTAAAAGTGTAATAAAGGCTAAACTTTACTGTAAAGCATTTTATAAAATAAAAGACTACTTAGAAGATAGTCAGGCTTGGGAATGAGCCGCTGTAACTTCTGCACAGGTCATGTTGACATGTTTGTAACATAAGTTACGCTTTTTATATACAATTTGACATTACGTTTATTTTTTTAACAATGACATTATCACCTATTGTGACATTTTTATTTTTATTTGACATTTTTTATTTTATTTATTATTTTTATAATTATTTATTGACATTATTATTATTTTCTATTATTGTTAGTGTAAGGACCGTGTGAGACTTGCCGCGCTTTTGGACTACCAGTTATCTGCGTTCTGACAGTTTGAGTACTTGCGTGACCCAACCAAATGTTCTTTAGATCGGTATTGTTCGTCGGACAACTCAGCAGCACTTGCTATGCTGGTTGCAAACTGACACTTGCGTGCCTGTCTTCAGAACGGGTCCACTTAAACTGGTGTGGTTCTTTCATCAAAAGACCACTACAGAATGAACTTGCACGGTTCTCTCACATTATGTTATTTTTACATTGTCTGGACTTGAAAAGAGACTGACCTCTGAGTTTGTTTCGGCATTTCTTCTCAGAGTAGTCAGACAGGAAATGCCGGCTTCATCTAGTTTTTTACATATAAATTGACGTGTAAAAGTGCCGTTTTATGGCCTATTTGCAAAAATAAATTCATTGTTTCATTGTTTCATTGTTTCATTGATTCTGATCAAATAATCTGGTCATCGGTTATATTAATCAATCGGTGTTGAATACTTGTTGAATGTACTGTACTCACTAATGTTACATGTTCCATGTTAGACAAAGTACAGGTATACAGGAATGTTCCCGGAGGGTGGTGTTAGGTTAGAAACGTTTAGGTAAAACATGTTTCGCCACGAGAATGTACTTAATTTCAATACTGATTTTGGTTTGTTGCTATTTGCGTGTTCCCAGCTAGTTTTATTACAACTAAATAATAACTTCACACATTTTGTTAAAGAAAATCGTTTCTTTAGTTAGTCTACAAGCGATTTGATAGAAATACAATATAACTGTATGATTAGACTGAGTTTTATACTCGGTGCCTCCTCTCTGCCTATTAAAACTTATTTAGATCTGGAGCCGCGGACCCCTCCCCTTCCCCTACTGTTTCAACAGACCGATAGAGTTTCCGATCGCCGCGAACAAAATTAAATGATCATAACTTTTCATTTTACCGTTAACGTTCCATTTTACGGCTTAAAATCGGTTGTAGTAACAATTAGTGAGGGCATGACAAAGTGCGACCGCTGCGGGGACCGGGGAGGGGGGGGGGATACGACTCTCATTAGCAACTTGTCCAAACTCGTTATAAGTTGACACCGGCACCGCGCGATTGACTTGCTCGCCGCCAACTGCTGTAAAAACTAATTCTTTCTCGGGACAGGGCTGCCGAGGACGATCGGCCACTCTTACATTATAACATTGTCATTAGACGGAGGTTTACAGATCACACATGTTTAGGATACGTATGTAAGTGTTTGTGGATAGTCTAGTGCAGTGCAGCTGATTGGCAGCGTGACTGAGTACTGAATCTGGAGTTAGTTGTGCAGAAATTGTTGTTTTTTTATGTCATAGATCGGCAAAGGAGCAGACGGATTATTTGCCTGATGT